TGCTGTGCTGTGGAAGAATGGCAATGGTTCAACCCGGCATTAGTTGCCATGCCTTTCTATCCCCCCCGCCCCCCCAATTATGATGTGAGAGGAGCCTGCAAGCTGAGTAACCGCTACAAGGAAGCCTGCTGAAAATAGACCAGCCATGTTCCAAGCTGACAACAGCACTGCCTGCCTTTTCATGCACAAATAACAACCCCGGCACTCAACTGTTTGGCTCGGCTCACTCCATTTTCCAGCCGCTTTCACACCGCCCCCCCAATTATGATGTGAGAGGAGCCTGCAAGCTGAGTAACCGCTACAAGGAAGCCTGCTGAAAATAGACCAGCCATGTTCCAAGCTGACAACAGCACTGCCTGCCTTTTCATGCACAAATAACAACCCCGGCACTCAACTGTTTGGCTCGGCTCACTCCATTTTCCAGCCGCTTTCACAGCCGCGACTAGCCTGAAGCAGACTATTCATGACAGCGAATGAACAGCGCGGCGGCGGCGAACGCATGGCTTTCTTCAGTCTCACTTTGGTTGTCGATGGATCTGAACACAGGACCTGTTGCTTAGCCTCGAGTGGTGGAAAAACAAATTGTCCTCAGCGGAGAGGATCGGCAAAGCTCTATCGGACAAGCAATCATTACGCTCCCTAATGTCTTTCTCGGTCGAGACGATACATCACTCTGGCTAATGCAGCACAATTTCCGTCCCAAACCACCCGTAGTTGTCTCGCCATTAGCCGGAGTGTTTTGCGTTGATTGGATGAAACAAAAAGGTTAAGCGGGTACACTATTAAAAGACCACTTTTGTGTTTATGCCGACAGAGCGGTGATTCAGATTCCAAAACAACTGCGCAGCGAGTGCGCCCTGAGCCACCTTGAGGTTTTACGGGGGAAATTTGCTCGTGAATACAAATAATGCCTCTTTGTTGCTCGAGATATGCTAGCCATCTGTCGTGAGACGATTCAATGCGCCTCCCATTAAATTGCAGAAGGTACAATCAAGATGTGTACCCACAAGTTGTATCATCACTACATATATATATATATATATATGTGAATGACTTTAGACAGATCTGAGTGGCTGGATCGGATCATCATATATTTAGTATTTTCTGTCAAATCTGTGATCGGTTCCAATGTCATAAATTTGCCAATAGATCAAGGCCATTGACCGGATGCGCAAAATAAGACATGCCAACAAACGCAATCTCATTCACTCCAGTGACGTTCCGGTTATTATTTTTCGTCATTTTTTTTCTCCCCGATGCTTTTAAATATTTTTTTCCAGGGTTTGATTGTTATTTTTTTTCCTCCCAAATGCATTACAATGGACATCAATAATTATCAAATTTTGGCTAGTCAGGGAACGCCAATAGGGGAGTCCACTGTAAATAAACAAATAGTTGAAATGCATTAGTCCAACTTCTGATCAGCTCAGTGATTTAACTCACTGATCAGTTCCAAAATCCTTATCGTGTAAAGCCGAATAATATATACTTGTGGTGATGTGCTATGCGTGTAAAATATGTGCCCTGGCCGGATACATGGTTAGGAAAGACGACAATAGAGGATGGTCAGAGGTCAGGCGGTAGGATGAGTTCGGAGCGTCACCAGCACTGAGCAAAGGAGACGAGGATGTGGGCGTGCATCCATGTAAGGCGCAGCCGGCGGATCCTAGCAGCACAAGTGGGCTGAGAACGCCACTGGCTGCCTGCTGCCAGGATTTGTACATTCGGTGCTACCGTCACACGCTGATGGAAGCGAGGGTGATAATTGGCACACTCAAGAGTGGCTCGCTCTTTGCTTTCCAGTTGTCAGAGTAACAGGAATAGGAGACAAATGTGAGGAAAAGTAGGCGTTTTTTTTTCCCAAACAGGATAGCGCTCACCCTAAAGTCTATTCCAACGGTGGCGATAAAATTGCCTCCCACAAATGCTCCGTCTTTAAATCGCAGCAAGATGCACGTCTTTCCCACGGAGGAGTCTCCCAACAGCATCACCTATCGATTAGAACAAAAGCCGTGAGCAGAGGGGGGGGGGGCACAAAGGTGAGGTTCCAATTAAACGCAACAATGCTTTTGATAACAACTGCCATTCCTCTGTGGAGGAAATGAACATGGAGGGTTTCATGAGTCATTTTGTGTTGAACAATCAGAACACGCCATTGCACAACAACTCCAGGATGAGCGGCTTTGGAAATATCAAGACTGTTTTGAGGTGTCACCGACATGTGACACTGTCAGGCGGATTGGATGTTTTACAGTCAAATTCTGCCCAATTCAGTGCAGGGTCTTCCTGCCCAAAGACAAATGGCTGAGGGCTATTCGTTTACAATGAATAGTTTGCAATGGAGCAGAATTGAATTAAATCATACTGAGAGCTTTTTTCCCCCCGATATATTGGTTTCCTTATTTGCTAGAGGGGAGTGAAAAATGCAAACATCTCTCATGATGACGTTCTGCAGCTGGAGCGACAACAAAACGCCTCGTTAACTTCCCCTTATCCGCGTGTGCTCAATGAAGTCCCCAATGCAAGTGCTGATTCACTTCAACTCACCGCGGTAATTGCTCGGTGCAATTTAACTCAACTCTCCTATTGTTTGAGCATCTCGACAGTAACAGGTGTGTCTTTCCTGCTTTTGGGAATGGGAGGGGTGCAACAAGTACACCCTCAACAAATATTTGCATCGGCACATGTGGACAAAAGGAAGCTTTACAGTCTTCCGCTAGCTTGCGAGAAATGCCAATTTCAAACTTTGGGTCTGCACTAAAACAAGACACAAACACACCACGTCTAAGCTTCTATACACTTTGTGACCACTGTACCGCAATACATCTATATAACATTAGGAAAAATACACACCTTGAAGGCAATATCATAATACTCGTTAATAGAAGCGCACCGCTCCAACACATATTTGGACGTGCCGTTTCTAGACTGCTTTCGCGTCAACGGTGCCTTCCTGATGGACATCGCGATGGCAAATGATGCGTTCACGGAGCCAAAGCCACTCAAGTCCGAGATGTAGTCCAGGAAGGACGCACACAGTGTTGTGTGTGGATCGGTGTATATGTTGAGTGTAGATCTCAGTCTGAGTCTCCGCCAGTCTCCAGCCCTTTAGCTCGCATGCTGTGCGGTCCCAAAAATGATGATCACCGGGAGGAAAAAAATGGAAAACGCTTCAGCGTTTAGTTACCCCCCACAAAAATAAAATAAATAAAAAGAAAATAAATGCAAAGGGGGAAAAAAACGCGAAGGGGCTAATTCAGAAGCATCGAGCAGTTATGAGAGCGGAAGATGACACACGGGCGGAAACATTTCTCTGCTTTGCATCCTGGCGTGGGCAGACGATATGAATTGACGAAGTGTGCGCGGCGCCAGCGTGCGAGTGCGCGCACGCACGCACGTGCGTGAGCGTGTGTTTTCATGAGTGAAAAATCATTTGGTACAGCCCCGAGGCTTATGTTGTACCCAAAACAGCTGAAGGGGTCAGATGAGACGATAGATGACTCATTCGTGCCACAGGTGTTGTCCATACCGTATAAAGAGCATACAAATAGCCTGTTTTATTATTTACCTAATTCATTTGAACGCCCCTTGTGTTCGAACATTTCATTCATGACTACAGTGAAGCTGTCACAGTTACCATCTTTCATTGGTTATTTCTGCCCTGAATCTTTTCCCTCTCTCTTATTCTTTTTAACAGACAACCAATCGCCAACATTTGTTCTCGTCAAGAACAGATTCTATTTAAAAAGACTCGGTTGCTTAATTAACATGTCGTACGTATCAAATCTTTTCAACAAGGGTCAATTTAACAATTCAATGTGCAAGCATTTCCCTACAGTGTTTGGCTCCCCCTAGCGTTCGTAATAAAAAAAACACTGATACCAATTTAGCACTTGGGTTGCATTTTAGACCACCCTAGAATCCAAGAAATGCACTGAGAAAACATAGGGCCAGACTATCATGCTGCAAAAGTACATTGTGAATTGTTTAATTTACTTAATGCATTTCATATTACATTTACAACTAAAAAATGCGACAATAAAAGTACGGTAATCTAAAATAATGGATTTTAAATCAACAAATAGACACTTGTGGAGCATCTTCTGAAAACAAGTTGGCAACACTGATGGCGCTGATTGGGTGATTTTGGAACTGACTGGTTTCATTCCACATGAAGAAGAGTAGACTGAAAATAAAACCTCTGAAGATATTCCACTATCACACTTAAATGCTGTTTGATCAATATTGGACAAACATCAGCAACGGTTCCCGTAAACTCTTGCTCTTAACATTTCGTGAGATGTGCCACCAAATGCGAGTCAGTATGAAGAGAAGACCGTGATCTTTAAATGTCAAAGCTGACAAATATTTATGCAGCAAAATACCAGCAGATGGTCGTCGGTTACGACATTAGATGCACTTGTGCAAACAAAAAACTGCATTCAAAAGGTTCATGTTTTATACGTGTCATAATGTCCATTAGATTAGAAAAGCATTTTCATTAGAGATCTATCTTTGGATCTTTGGTATATATTTACCTAGTAATGACTGGTTGGCAGATATTTACAATTTTTCTTCTACAAACATGAAGCAAATACAACACACAAATATTGCAATGACACATTTATAGGTATCATTGCCCTTGAAGCTGGAGATACACATCAAGCACCTTCAAGCTTGTCTAAAAGCCAAAGCCCATTATTGACATTCTCACACTCCGCCATGCTACTCTATAAACGCAGTGACATAAAGCCAAGTTGCCACATCATCCACGACACTGAGCCATGCCGCTCGTCTACCCCTCCTCCCCCCACGTCACAAAATGTCATCCTTGTTGAAAACGGCACTGCAGCCACCACCCACAAGCCAACAGACTGCTTCCACACCGTTCGCTCTTGCAGCCCTCATCACAATCGCGAAATCATGACAGCAGCATAATTATCCTTAATAACCAACCTTTCCCCAAGAAACACCCCCCCAACAGGATATTGAGAACAGTAATGAATGCGTGAGAAGATGAAGCTTCTTCCAGTGACTGGTCCATTTCTGCATTCATTTAAGAGACTCAAGCACACTCTACAGTGAATTGAAAAATACCCCCCCCCCCAAAAAAAACAGGCTTTTGTTATGGGGTGAGTGAGTGCGTGGCAGGAAGTGCGCTCACTGTGAAAGCGATGCCCACGGTGGTGGAGGTGAAGGACCCGGAGATGAAATTGCCCTGGTGCGAGAGTGGGCTTTTCCATTTTATAAACTGGGCATGAAGATCTTTTTTTTATTGAATTGTCCCAGTGTAGTGAAGTGTTTGACACCACATGGGAGGATGCAGGCAACTGTCAGTGTTGTCGCCATGGCTATGGTTTTGTTGCGCCTGACATGAACAGCACCTCTTCCTCCTCTGTCCTTCTTTTCCTGCCATTAAAAAAAGAAAAAAAACCTTTAACATAAGTGGTGAGGCGCGCATTTGGTACTTGGGCCTCCTCTGTCCTTCTTTTCCTGCCATTAAAAAAAAAAAAAAACCTTTAACGTAAGTGGCGAGGCGCGCATTTGATACTTGGGCCATTAGTAGGGACTTTACTGACTTAATGCACTCTTACTACTCCATCCATCCATCTTCCTCCGCTTATCAGGGGTCAGGTCGCGGGGGCAGCGCCTTGAGTCGGGAAGCCCAGGATTCCCTCTCCCCAGCCACCTTGTGCAGCTCGCGCTTCCAAACCAACTCACATTTTACCACCAGCACGCCTTTGGCGAAAAGATGACTTCATATACAGAGTTCAGGTTCATTTCGCATTCTCAGCAGCTTAGAAGCTGGATGTTTCCATGGCAACATAAGATTAGATTCCTTCAGAGCATGCCATCTATCTGAATTGTCGGGGCCATTGACGAGGGACATAATGACGCTCATAATAGTCCTAATGAATGCAGCAGATGAACACATTCACTTGGTTGGATTCATTGTGAAACATTATCCCATTTATACTAAATTATTTTATGATTTCGTGCAGGTGACTAATCTAACAGGAAAATGGAGTGCAAATTGTTTTTCAAGGAGGGGGAGGGGAAATATCCAAGAGATTTTTATAAAACAAAGAAGCCCAAACATTGATATCTGTGTCCTTTTTATTGACTTGTTGGAGACCCACGGTGTACACGAGCCCACCGCGAAGACCTCCTTAGAGTACCAAAGCAGCAAGGACGGAAAACTCAACCTCTCCATCACTGACCAGGAAATAAAATCGAAGTAGCTAAAACCACAAGTTTTGATACTAGTTTAAAATTGAAAAGACACATTGACACACTTGTTCTCAAACAGTACACAGTATAAAAAAATAACATCTGCAGTTCTCTTTTTACAGACATGGGGCTTCACTGAAGCAACTGCACTGTGCAAGGTATACAAGGTCACTTGAAAAACACAATTTTTAAGAATAACAACAACAACAAAAAGAACACATTACATGTGTTAAAATTGCAAACTAAGATGCAGACCGGGCAGGCAAAAATTGCACATCTTGGGACCCTTTAACCTGCAGTAAACAAGTCATCTCAGTCAAATAAAGGCAGCTTCGATTTATCTTTCGAGAGTTCTAAAAACACAAAAAAATAAAAGCATACAGTGTTTACCCTTTCTGGTCAGAGGACTTGAAGTGTTCAACCAATGCACGGGCGTCGTGAAGTGTAACAAGACTTTGAAATTCCCTTCCGACATTGGCTTCAAAATTAGAAGCAGTGGTTATAGAAGAGATCAGCCCCACGTTTTCGGATCGTGGGGACATTGAATGAAGGTATCTGCCGAGTTTCCAGACACTTTCTGGGACCACAAAGAAGGCTTTTAGCATTCACACCAAATACCTTTTGAAATGTTAGAACATGTCTCCATGTGTAAAACTAATATTTAGCAAAACAAACAAACAGATGAGTGAGACAAGGAATCAATACTTGCGTCGTGAGTGTCCCACAACTTTTGTCATCACAACGTAATCAACTGAATTTTGCACAACGGTATAGTGTACTTCGACTGTTCCACGTTTCCAATATAAAATGCTTCAAAATAAGCATAACATGACCCACAAGTTTTGTTCCTGTCTTCAGATGAGAACAAAAACAGGGCAAGAAGACTGTGGTTGAGCTCAAACTGCATCCTGACCCATCAAGTCGAGAAAAACTGACCATTTGTGAAGGGCGATGTTTCATTCGCCTACTGGTCTCGGAACCATAGCTTTTTGTCAGCAAGGAATTAAAAAAAAAAAAAAAAAATGCATCAGGCATTCATACCATCCTGCAAACCAAAGAAAACTCCCTGGGCTCGCAATCGTCAATGTGCAAATTTCCAGCATTCACCTCTCGCAAGTCATTTCTACTGAGAACGTTGTGACTCTTCAGTGCAAGATGTCATGTTGTTTTTGTGGCCTTGAGCTTGGAGCCAAAACACCTCCCACGCGCAAAGGTTCGCCCGGAGCTCTCGTTGCTGCTTGAAGCCTCCGGCACAGGCATCCTCTTCCTGTAACAGCCCCCCCCCCCTCAAACCCCCCCACTGGGGCTACCTGATTCTCCCGTCACTTTTAACTGGGCCCAGTTCAGACTTGGGGTCCGGGGACAGGGAGCTCCACGTCGTTTTGGAGCACGGCACCAAGGCAGTGCAGGATGAAGTCTGCGTGGCGCACATGTCCCCGATAACCCAGAAGTTCGCCACACTGCGGTCGACCCACGCTTCAAGGGGCGGGCCCACCAACTTGGCGTTGCGTTGCGCTTCCAGCATGGCGGGCTCTTGAGGCGGCAGCTTCAGGATGGAACTCAACTGCTGGAAGCTCTGCTCCAGATACAAATTTCCCGGCGGACCGGCGTGGAGCCAACTGTCCTTGTCTGTGGGCAGGCATTCATTCATGTGGACAGACAAAGAAAGGACAATGACAAATATTTTATTTTGATGGTTGCTGAAAATGTACTAAAAAGGATCAACCGCAGTCAAATGCCATGAGATGAACAACAATCCAGAACAATCTCCTTATAGGAAAGCAATTGCTTCATTTTCTGTCACTGTGATGAAGATCAAATACGTGGAATTTCATGCAGTCCCTGATCGTGTAGTATGGCGTGGCTTCAGTTTCCACAAAGTGACTGCTGAATGCGATTGCATCTCCAGACATTCCCTGAGGGTAACTGGCAACCACTTCACTGTGTCGTCTACGTTCCGCCAAAGTTAGCTTTCCCTATACCAGGGCAAGCAGTATACAAAATAGATGGATGAATGGAATTGTGAAAAGATTGAAAATTGGAAGGACATTTCTAAGCCTTCCTAAACATTAGCTGGATCTTAGGGAATAATAAGCTACTTCTGAAAAGAATATTCCGCCATCTTGTGGT